TGTCAGGTGCGTTGCTGTAATAGTATCCCTAAGAATGTGGGGTTAGATTTTCCTGCCTATAGAGGGAGAAATTGTGTGCTTTTCTTTGGTATGTTGGGTCAGTGCTGACCAGAGTGTGTAGCTGTGTGGTAAAGAACCAGTGTTGTGTTTAATTAATTGTCAGGTGCCAGCATGTCACTCAATTGTGGAGAAATTAAAGTTCAAGTATTTTTTGTTGTGTTTTTAAAGAATTTGTGTACTGTTTTAGACCATGTAAACGGGAACATTTTACATCAGTTGTCATCACTGATTTCGATGAAATTTTTTGGATGTATAGTATTTACTTGTACTTAAACTCTGCCAAAGTCACAGAACTTACTATTCAGGCATTATTGAGAAAATTGCGATAAAAGTTTTTTAGAACTATTAATACCTGCACAGAAGCATCATTTGCATGTTCACAGTGTGGTCTGATTAGTTAAAGTGTTGCATGAAGAGTGTTACTATATGGGTTCAAATTCCATATATGAGAATCTTTTTACATTTATAATTTAATCATATTGCTATTAAATTTGTTATGTACAGTTTTAGTCATTGAAAATTTATTTTTTTAATTGTAAAAGCTTTGCTGTCCTTAATTTTAATGTTATTGTTAATTGTCTACTTGGACTTTACTTATTAATAGGACTTAATACTGGTGTTTAAAGATTGGCACAGCAATGAGAGTTAGTTCAGGAAAGAACAAAATTTCTTCATTATATCACCTGTATATTACTACAGGTGATATAATAAAGAAATTTTGTTCTTTCCTGAACTAACTTTCATTGCTGTGCCAATCTTTAAACACCAGTATTAAGTCTTATTAATAAGTAAAGTCCAAGTAGACAATTAACAATAACATTTATTTTTTTATTTTGATCACTCCATATAACATTATGATCACCTTTTGTTTAATGTTATGTTGGTTCTTATATTATACATATCAATACATTTATATTACATTTCATATGTATGGTCCTACAGTACAAAAACAAGTTGATTTTCTTGTCTCCAAATTTGAAAACATCATTGTCAAATGCTCTAGGTCAGGAAAGTTAACAAATCTTTATAAAGACTTAAATTGAAATATTACAGCTACAATAGAGCAACGATTATTCGAATATTGATCAAGCAAAACATCAATTAACCGAAAGCTTTCTAATCAGCAAACTTAAATTTCTGCTAGTGCTGTGGCGCTGCAATCTTTGACTGTCTTGGGCTACTCCAATATTATTTTGTTGGTGTGTGTGTTTTAGCTGGCAGCACTGGCGCAACCATGGAGTCTACTTAACGACATGCCAGGAGTTGAACAAATTTCAACATGGGCTAGGTTAATATTTTTTTCATACATAATTTGGTTATCCAAAAAATCTATTTTCCAAACAACCCAGTCCCAAATTGATTCGGAAAATCGATGCTCTACTGTATATGTAAAAAATGAAAAGTTTTTATTAATAAGAGATTTGTGGTGTGGTCATAAAAATTTCCAAATATACAACAAAATTTTTGTAGACAACAAAGATATTTCGTCTTGCCAATTAAAATTAAAAATGTACTTCAGCCTTGCAACATTTATTTTTATGGACAGGTCAAAAATGTTATCAAAAAATTACAAACTGAAGCTATCTCCTTAAAACCAATAGATAAATAGCCAATTGTGAAAATGCTATTAAAAAAATATACTCTTTCTTTAATTTGCAATCAGTTGAGTTCACCAGTTCTTTGTGACATGTTAAGATATGCATGGTTTGTGTCTCAAATAACACACAAAAGAAATTTTTTCAAAAAATTAATGAAGTTTGTTTTTCATCCTCTGTTATTAAAGCAAAATGTAAAGATTGTGTGAATGAAATAGCAATGAATTTTTGTGCATCATGCACTGAACTATTATGATTTAACTGTTTTTATGATGAATACCGTTCAAAATGATGTCATATTCTTGTGAAACAGTAATTGAAAATATTTATTGCGTGTATATTTTTTGTGGTGAAAATGTTAAATTGTCAAAAAAGAATTTTTGAATTCCCTGATATTTTATAATGAATAATAAAGTTTAAGTTCAATAATTATAAATGTAAAAAAACAAAATTCTAGTACACAGGATTTGAAACCATCCAGTAATACTGTTCACGTAATGCCTTTACTAATCAGGCCATGCTATAAACTCAAAACTTGGTGCTTCTGTGCATGTTTTAATAGATCTATAAAAATTTTATTGTGGTTTTCTCAAGAATGCCTGAATAATTGATCCTGGGGCTGTATTTTGGTCACTTATCTCTCGTCTCTTCTTTCAATGACAAATGACATCAAAACAAGAGACGAATTTTGTCTTTCGAAAACAGTGGAGATTCTGGTCACTTTTAACAATCTCATCTTCATTGACGATGTCACGATACTATTAGGTTGATTATACATGTTTGGGTTATCTGTGCATGCAACACAGTATAGAATTTTAACCATAAAATTGTAAAATTTTGGAAAATGCAGAGTACGTAATCACAGATCACATGGCAAGAGCACGTGTTCAAATAAAGCATGTAATTTTGATGAACTTGTTTTTTGTTTTATAATGTTTTTGCAGAATGTAATGTCAATTTATCTCTTAACAAATAAAAATTTTAATAACTGAAGTTAGAAAAGTGTGTGTACTTAGATAGTTAAGGAAAAATTACATGGTAATATTTCAAAAAATATCTAAGTAAGATTAACATCATACTCAATAGTTCAGTAATTAATGTAGGATAATTAAAGAAAAAAAATGGAATTAGTGGCATTTCCGAGTAGGCACTGGAAAAAATCAGAAGCATTTTCTCTCTCGAAATATTCTTTCCCGAGATAGAGAACGTTTTGTAATGCGATTATATAGCACGAGTAGCATCCAGTTGTCCATATTGGATATAATGAAATTGAGGTGAAAGACAATAGGCCGGTTAAAAGACAACTATCCTCTCATCTCCAATAAATGAGAAGCGAAGAGAGAAAAAGTTGTCCAGAATTGCATTTAGAGAGATGCGATGATCTCTCGAGACATAAACAAATGATTAGCCAATCAGTGACCGTTTTGTGAGAGATGATGACCAGAATACAGCCCCATTGTTTTGGCTTAGTTTAAGTACAAGTAAATACTACACATCCATAAAATTTTGTTGAAATTGGTGATGACAACCTCTCAGGTTCCCCTTGTAAGTTGTATAATTTTATATTATGTAACAAAGTTATCTCACATGAATGGAAAACAATTGTGTTGAAATCAAGTTATAAAAAATGCAGTATTTTGGATCCTTTCAACTATCATCCAATAACTTTATTAAATACAATTAGAAAGTTGCTTTCAGTGATTTTGATGAAACAATTTAATTTGTGGATGCAGAAAAGGAAATTGATTTCTTTNTATATATATATTAGATTGTATTATAGAATTAGTTTTTACTTATCAGTCAGAAATGGCAGAAGTTATATTTAACTTCAATTGATTTGATAGATCATGGTTTACTTTGGAGGAAACTTTCATATTTTAGAATATCTCTTTGTTTTATTTCTATTCTAATTTTTTATTCTCTCATAACATGGAGGGTTCATACAGACCTAGAAAATCAGGGAAAGTGGGGCTGTCCATAAATTATGTTTGCATTTTTTTCAAAATGTTTGCTCCCCCTCCCCTTCTTATCCCAGTTTGTCCAAGTTTTCATGACCCCTCTCTTCTTCAGACATCCAACAAAACTCAACCCTTCTCAAAACTTTCATGGCTTGATTAAGCTTTGTGTTCTTAACTTCCCTTCCTTTCTTTCAAAACTGTACATCTGGGCTTTTCACCCTTATTGGTTGGTCTGATGTGTTTTTTAAAACAAGAGGTGTAGAACCTGATTGGTCAGAAGAACAAAGGGAAAAGAGAATATAGGAACGGAGAGGACGAGACAGACATCTATTTGAGATCTACTTTTTGGAGGAGTAACATGTGTGTTGGTAAGAATAAAAAGTCATGCTGTAATTTTCATCCCAATTTTTCTGTACACCTATTAGTGTAAATTTGATAATTTTTGTCAGGAAAATTTCTTTTAACGCAAACTTTACATTTCTTAAATTTTATCTATGCCGAGCGATTTTCAGGAGTCAGTTTTTTCCTCAGTTACATAAAAATGAAAAATACAAGAAATTTTGAAATAAATATAATCCAAACAAAATACCTGAGATGTAAAAAAATTACACTAAGTAGAAATTTATAACAATTTAGACAACAGTCAAAATTTTTCTTAGCAGTTTTTCTTTGCTAAAGATAAGCTTGATGCCTGGAAGTGATACCCACAAGATTTTTACTGGAATTATTGTTTTCTAAATTTTCATAAATTTTTACTTGCACAATTTTTTTTACATCTTAGATGTTTTAGTTTGGATATGAATTAATATTTTCTGTGACATAATGTCTTTTATTGGAGAAATAGTGAAATAAACATACAACAACAGTGAACACATCAGAGACATTAAATTAAAATAAAATTACTAGAGTATTTTTCAGGCTGAATGTCAGCAAGATAAGTGATCACTGTACAATGTACATGAACATATGGGATGTGACAGTGAGTGAGAAGAGGTTAATGTGTGTTCATTATATCTCAGTATCCAAATATTCTTTGTCATACGTTGTTCGTTAAAACAAATTCTCCATCCAATCCATTATGTAAATCAGTGTAATTTACTCTATAATCTCTGCTCCAAAAATCTCTTTCATCTGGCCATATCATCTCTGATTCCAAGTACAGTACAACAGTTCTTATTCTTCTCATTTCTCTCTTTATATCTTCAAGTCTACTGCATTTTTACATATATCTTACATTTCAAGTATCAATTTTGCTGGTTTACAACCCCTCTGATTAACAATTATGAATTGATTGACTTCCTTGTTAATTTTTCATACTGATTTATTAAATATAGGTGGATTTATATATATTTGGTGTATAATAATTAATATTTTGTTTGTTTATCAGGGACAAGCTGGTGTGTAGCAGGTACCTGGTGTCTTTATGTGTTCGGGCATTTCTAGAGAAAAAGGAACGTACCATTGAAGTATTCATACGAAAATTCCAAGCTCTAACAGTTTCTGATGAAAAGGTAAAACCATGGGTGTCTGTCACTAGTCTGTGTAAAAATCATTTAAGTCTTTGTTTTCCATAAATCCTTTGCACATAAAAAATTTTATATCTCAAATGGACATGTAGCCACTTTAAACCTAAGGATTGACAAATGACCATCTTTTTTGACAACAGCCAAACATCTGAGTTGGTCTATTGATTAACATTTTTTTCTCCAAAAGTGAAACTCAAGACAGAAGATAAAATGTTTTCAAAGATATAATCATTCCATGTTTTACATGGAAGATGAATAAAAGAGTTTGTGTTACCAAAAATTAAAGTGGGGTTTTTGTAAATTGGAAGTTACCTGGGATAAAGTTATTCACAATTCAGGACATTGTGGGAAACTTTCTCCTCTTCATAACTAGCTCAAGTTTTGGTGATTTTGTTTGGCATTCTAAATGTTCTTTTGAAATTTGTGATGTGGCCAATAGACATTTAACCTAAAGTTTTTTAGGCTTAAAATGAACATTTAAGGCTAGAAGTAGCTTTTGCTTATTGATATTTAGCTTCTTATCTAACTTACTACACCACCTTTAATGGCATGCCATTATACCAAAATATAGATGCATTCCATTATATTCAAATTGAAAAGTAAACAAGGAAACTTGTTTACTTTATATTTAATGTTATTGCATATTATAAACCATATTGTTAAAAAATTTATATTTTGAAGTTAAATTAGTCATTTTCATACATTAAATTTAAATTTTGTCACTGTCCTGAGAACTCTCTGAACAATACAAACTTCATTGCCTTCACCAGATTCAGTGTTTGAATTAATTTTACTTATATTTTCCATCCAATTCATTATGTGAATCAGTATATTTTACTCTATAATCTCTGTTCCAAAAATCTTTTCCATCTGGTCATCTCATCTCTGACTCCAAGTACATCAGTTCTCTGTAAAGTAGTTCAGAGTTCAGTCTATTTTAACTGTCTTGCAGTGCATGTTTTATGCTTTATTTTATGTGTATATTGTGTATTGTTCATATCGTTCTTGTCGATTTGGATTTATGTGAGTCTTATTGTTTTTTTACCATTGTGACATAGTATTATTATTTTAGTTCATTGTGACTGTGACTGAAGGCCTGCCTCAGGTATTTAACAAAACTGACTTCCAAAATTGGAATGTTAGAACAATGATGCTCGACTTTAAACTTTGAATATATCAAATTCATGCATTTGATTGACTTTGTTCGAATTTCTTATACAGGTACTTCTGTGCATGCACCACCGTCTGGCAGTCTTAAAGTGAATACAGTTCCCTTTTGACTTGGCTTTATAAATTTCCCAAGCCTCCAGGCTTTGGATATGGTCTGTTTGAAAGGCCTGCCTAATTAATCTGGTGTTCTGGAGTCTGCATGTACTTCGGGGTTTGTGGTGTATGTGGACAGGGCGGTGGTATGCCTGTTGTTCACAAGATCATATTGATGTTCACGTACCCCTTTTATGTATTGAACATATGGTTGAGAACAAATACTTTCTTTCATCAACTATCACTCCCATTTTTTCAGTCACCCAGTTGTGAGGTCCTGGATGGGAAATAAAAATTCTGCTAATTAAAAATCTACTAATGAGAGGTAGATAATAAGGACTTATCACATTAGTGATAATAAGCACAAACACCCAGGTATCAATGGAGTACATTTAATAAAACAAAAAGGATGTACATTAAAAATTAATTACATGAGTAATTAACATGAAATAACCCAAATGCATTTCGGACTGTTAGAAACGACCCTCTTCAGTTGGTATTAATATAAAAAGGTTATAATACTTAAAATTATACAAGATAGAGGAACCGCTATAAAGGTATGATCATTGAACATTAAATGGGTGCAGACAGGCTTAATGCAGCTTCATAATGTTACACAGTAGCTTGACATAACGTGTTACTAATTCAAACAGTTTTAAAATTAGCAGAATAATAAGGTAATGATGTTTATCTATCTCATATCAGTAGATGTTTAATTCATTTAATTATACCAAGGGCTGAATTTCTTTTTAAAAATTGTATGTTTATGATTATGAATATCCAGCTGGACAGTTAAGTTCTCATCTTTAAATCTCTCTTTGTTTTCATTTTGAAAGTCTCACTTAAACAATAAAAGTTCTTTTCATCAAAACGGAAAACAAAATGCTAGAATTATGGTGGAGAATTCCAAAGTTTGGAGGAAGTTTAGATGCTTGGGATTGGGTTAAGTGTCAATAACAACTCTCCTACACCCCAAAAGGTTTCAAATTGTCACTGGGAGATGAGGGAAAACCAGTCCGAATGTGGACTAGAAGAGAGAAACCCTATAAAAACACGTGTTTCAAGGACACAGTGTTCTTTGCTCCAATATTTGTTCTTCCTCTAAGATCAACTGTTTGCTCTTCAAGTTTTGTTGTTCTATCTCCCAAAGTTTTTCTCTTTTCAAGGTTTATTCTTTCTCCGAGAACTGTTATATCCAAGCGTAGCGAGCCTTGGGGTTGTCAATTTTGCAGACTGTCAACCAGGAACTGAGTGTATACATACAATGGGTCATTTGGGTTATTACTGGACTCTTTTTTCTTAAAAAGAAATGATGAAGGAGAATTGTAGCAACAAGGATATAGAAACTTTTGTAAGAAAACTTTTAATGTTTTATTAAATGGGGAAAAGTGAATGATAAGCCTGTCTCAGTGACTATTTCATGCCCACGCATGATTCTTTCGACCCCTTGACCAGTCAGTCAGTCAGTCAATGTATTTTATTGGTACTAAAGTACATGCCCTGGCCCTGCAAGAAGCATTACCAGGGCTTGAAAACAATAGGTATGATTACAATGAACAATAACTACAATTGAAGAGTTTGTACAAAAGATTCTAAGAGTGAGCAAGAAAATATAAAGTATACCTACATAAAACATCCGAAAAGGACACCACACACAGTTCGCATGTAGTGTACAAAAAAATATAAAAAATGCATATTTAAACGTCCAAAAGGGACGCCACACATAGTTCGCATGTAGAAGTACTGCAGGAAGAGGCACCATGGTGCCGAAGAGATGATTAGCTGTGGATGGTGTTATAGTTGACACTGTAGATCCTTTTGGCAAAGTTTTTGAAGACTTGCTAGATTTCTTTGTTGAACCAGATGTCGGGATGCTTACACGGCCAGGGTATGTTGAAGTGGTCTAGTAGAAGACTAAACTCAAATCTTTCTCTTTCAAAAATTATGCAGTTGTACAGGTAGTGTTCTGGACTATCCCTGACGTTGCACACGGGGCATACATCGGTGTTGCCATTTGCAAATCTCGCAAGGTAATTAGCAAATTTCCCATGTTCGGTTAAAATCTGATTGACATAGAAGTCAGGGGTGTACTACCTTATAGCAAGGTACTGCTGTAAGTCAGGGATAAAGTTATGTGTGACATGCTGCATGATTTGATCCCAGTCGGATTGCCAGTGTTGTACAGTGTCAGACCAAAGCATGCTGCGAAGGGTTTGTTGGCTTATTTTCCTGTAGGCTATCTGGTTCTTATCCATTGTAGTGGCAGTTTTGGCAAGAGAGTCGGCCCTCTCATTGCCAACCACCCCCTGATGGGCTCTGACCCATGTAATTTGGATTTTGCACGAAGACATCCGCAGCGCATTCCTGATGTATTCAGCCAGCGGGTGTAATTTTGGGCTATTAATGAGCCTGTAGGCCGAAAGGGAATCGGTATGGATGGTGGCAGTGATATTATCGTAGTTCCTATTAATGTGCTCGACGGCTTTCCAAATGGCAAAGAGTTCTGCCTGGAACACCGTGCATTTATCATCAAGGCGGTAAGTCTGGTATGAGAGTTCAGTAGTGTTCTCATATATTACAAGACCACAGCCAACTGAGTTATTTATTCTTGATCCGTCAGTATAGATGTTAATACTGGTGTCGTCATTGTCCATCTTAGTGTTGGTTATCTGTCCGATTGGAAAAAGAGTTTCATTGAATGGGAAGGTCCATTCTATGTCCTCATGGTGAATAGTGTCGTTAGAGATGTTAATGGTGCTGCCCCATTTAATTTGCTGATACTTTTCTTTTTGAGCGATTTCCAAGTCTATCGGTGGTCTTCTAGCGAGCACCTGGAGACACCGATTGCTAACAGTACGGAAAGATTTAGTAATTAGTAACAGTGCACGTCTCTGTGAAGAAATCAGTTTTCTCTTCGTATGCACTTTCTTAGTGGACCAACCCCAGGTGCCGCAGGCGTAGGTTATGAGTGGCAGGTAGATACTGTCGTATACGATGGCCATGGCATTACTAGTCATCACCCAATCCCTTTTTGCCACTTGGGCAAAGGAGTTCATGATGATGCCTGTACGGGAGGACACATATTCGACCCCTTGACCATCCTGACAATTGCACACAGTCAGAAAACCTTATTCAATGTTTATTTTAAAGGTATAGGTGGCCACCAGGAAGTGGAAAAAGGCTAGCCAAGTGTTCACATGGGTCCTGGTTTATTAAAAAGAAATGAATGATTTTATTTTGTTTTCCAGAAAAGGTGGAGGTCAATCTTTACTAAGAGGTCACTTGATACTGGAGACTGACAAAATTATGATCAGTATCATCTATCTATATTTACTTGAGCTAGACAAACAATTTTCCTTGCTTTGGCACAGGCAGCAGTCAAAATGGATTGCCATTGCTGCTTCCGTATTCGGATGTCACGTAATTTTGATGAAATGTAAAATATGGTCATTTAATCCTTTCCAGTACTCTCTCTTTCATCAAAGGCTTCTACTCAGATGTAAAAGTAGTTGTATACGCACCTACCTTATCTATTGATATATCTTTTACAACTTGTCTTTCCCAACAGCTAGCTTTTGTTATTGGTTATCATAATGCTGGTATTTATTGTTAAGTTTCAAAATGACCTTTGAATTTGTGTTGGGGATAGTGACAAAAGAGGCATGCACAATCACCTTTTGATGAACAAAAATAATTTTAATAAAACAGTCACTATTAGATCT